AGGTACCTGTTGGTGCACTGAATTAGGTTATGAGAATGTGTAACTGTGTGTGTGCATCCAGAAAATGAGGAACGTTCAAGAGATCATAAAATGTAGCCCACTAAGATGCATCTTTAAGAACTGGGAATGTTTTGGGTCAGACCCTGTGAAAAAGAAAAAGATGATTTTCTTTTGTAACACCACGTGGCCTCAATATGAATTGGCAGGTGAGGAAAAGTAGCCAGCAAATTGGTCTCTAAATTATACTATCCTCCAACTTGATCTTTTCTGTACCCGTGAGGGTAAATGAGATGAAAAGCATTATGTGAGAGCTTTCAGGACTCTGTATCAGAACAAAAAGTTACAGAAAAAAGTAAAATCTTAGTTCAGAAAGGGACTGATAAATTACAACTGCCAGTCCTCCCTCCTGACCCTGAGGAGGTTCTTCCAGTTTCTACCAGTTTAGCACCCACACCGCCTCCTCCCTATGCCCTGTGTCCACCCAACGGAGCCGCCACACCAGTGACAGCCCCCACTGTGAAGCCCCCTCAACCTTTGTATCCACCCCTCTCGGGTCCTTCTGTCGCGCCGGTGGGCTTGCCACCCCCATATGGAATGGAACGACTTTTGGGTGCCCTGATTTGGCCGTTAAGGAAAATGAAAATACCCCGGGTGAGACCAGTTCTCTAGAGAACCATAGTATATTAGGACCATGTTCACCTGTTCACTGATCTGGGCCCCGAGAGTCCTAAAAATGCCCGAATGGTCAATATAATTTTTATAGGGCAAAGTACCCCTGATATTAAAAGAAAGCTTCAGAAAGAAAGAGGTATAGGGTTAAAAATCTCTCGGTTAGTGGAACTGGCCTGCCAGGTTTACTCTGACTGAGATAAGGAGCAATAAAGAAAGAAAGTTGCAGACCAAAGGCACCAGGTCGGCAGCCTTCCTAGTTTCTGCCTTGCAAGCTGAAGGCCATCCCCCAAGAGAACAAAGAAAAGGAGGGAGACCAAGGCCACCGGATCCGAGAAGGTTCCACACCCCTTTGGAAAGGGACCAGTGCAGCTGGTGTAATTTAAAAAAAAAAAAAAAAAAGGACATTGAAAGTGAGAGTGTACAAAATACCAAGCAAAAGAACGAAAAAAGGAAAAGGTGACCCAGTGCCTGCTCATGCCACTAAAAGATAAGTCGGACTGAGAGGGAACTGGAGGAAAGTCCTCTACCTGGGCCTCTAATTTATAATGAAGGTGGAGAAAGAACCTATAAAGTGTCTGGTAGACACTGGAGTGACCCACTCACTTCTGACCCACCCCCCACCCAAAAAAAAAAAAAAGCTATCGCAGTGAGGCGAACTGTGTCCATTGTGAGACTATCAGGAAAAGAAGAGCACCTTCCCTTCCTACAACCTCTAACTTGTTCTATACAAGAAAAATCTTTAACATACTTCTTCGTTTACAAAAAACAGGTGGTAGTTACAAATGGTCCTCACTACTGGCCTACCAACTATGAAAAAAAAAGAACATTACTGACGGTTAGTTGATCCAGATATCAGAGATGCAGTAGTGCCATACGTATGGGCCAACAAAATACCAAGGAGAGCAAAAAATGTCCCTCCCATTGTCATTGAATTGTTGCCTGGTATAGTTCCCCCAAGGCTTAAGCAGTACCCCATCTGAGCTGAAGCCTGATCAGCACTGGGCAAATCATCACTAGATACCCGAAACATGGACTGCTCAGACTGTGTCAGTCACTGTCCAACACCCCATCCTGCTGGTAAAGAAGAAAAACAGAAAATACCGGTACTGTCAGGATCTGCGAGCTGTCAACCAGGTAACCGTCACAGTCCACCCTGTAGCCCCCAGCCCGTACACCCTGCTGTTGACCTTTGCCCACCTTTTCTAGGTTCACTGTGCTAGACCTGAAGGATGCCTTGTTTTGCTTCTGAGTTGAGGAGAAAAGTCAAGAAATCTTTGCCTTTGAGTGAGAGGACCCAACAACAGGACAAACACAGCAGTTGTGTTGGTAAAACCTCCCACAGGACTTTAAAAACAGTCCTACTCTTTTTGGATCAGCTTTGGCCCAAGAACTGAGACAACTGACCCTAACCAATGGTGTCCTCCTCCAATACATGGACAACCTACTCATCGCCAGTCGCAGCCTTGAACTGTTTATAGATAGAAGCAGTAACATGGAACGAGGAAAAAGAAAAGCTGGATATGTGGTGGTCACTTTAGAGGAGGTTCTAGAGGCTAACGCACTTCCCTTAGGCGCCTCTGCCCAGAAGGCCAAGCTCATTGCCATGTTGCAGGCCCTTAGAATCACCAAAGGTAAGTGAGCTAATTCCAAGTATGTATTTGAGGTATTGCATGCATATGGGGCAATCTGAAAGGAAAGAGGGCTTCTAACAGCAGGAGGTAAGGACATTAAATATTCTTAAGAGATCTTACTACTTTTACAAGCCATTCTCCTAGCCACCCAAATAGCAGTAGTACACTGCAAAGAACATCAAAAAAGAGACACTGTGGTGGCCAAGAGTAATTACAAAACAGATGCAGCAACAAAAAAAGCTATTCCAACAGAAACATGCCCTAGTAGCCCCACTAATTCCCTATGTAAAGTTACCCCCACCTGACCTCCACCCGGACTATTCCCAACAAGATTAACACATTGCCAAGACCTGGGGAGCCACTCTAAACAAAGACAGATAACTGTACACTCCCATGGAAAGATTTTCATGCACCCTATCCTACAGAGAGCCCACCAGTCCACCCATTATGGCTGTTTATTGGCCGTAACAAGTCACGCTGAGCAAAACCTGGGGTTTTCACCCAGCAACATGAGGACCTTCGCAACACTCCAAACCCATTGCTGTTGAGTCGATTCCAACTCATAGCAACCCTAAAGCCCTGAAATTTTGAGAAACGCTGAGCCTGCATTATAAGCAGCAGTGCGGTGTGATGGATTGCTTTTGTGTGGCCTTTATAGCCATGGTCTTGTAACTCCCATCCAAGTGATTGGGTGGGACTGTGCAGATATGGTAATGGTGGCCCACCAAAGGGATTGGTCAGTTTTTGCCATTCTGCTGGGCTTGAGGTGAGCCATCCCAGAGGCAGGAGAGAGAGTCCCACCACTACCAAGGAAGAAGAGCCAGTGTGTTCTTTGGAGCCGGGATCCCTGCACTGAGAAGCTCCTGGATCCAGCAGACAGAGACAGAGAGAACCATAACACTAAAGGCAATGAGAAGAAGCAGCAGAGACCCAGCAGCAGGAGACGGCTTGGTGGGCTTCCCAGCTCAAGGGGAGAGAAAGCTGAGTGCCTCTGGGGAGAGGCTTAAACCAGGGAGAGGCGTGCCTGCAAGCATGGCTGGGAAGAGGCTGTCCTGATGAAAGAATTGTATTGTTGAGTGTTCCTGAGCCTGAATTGTAACTATCACTTCCCTAATAATCCCCATAATCACTTTAGTATTGTCTATGAGTTTTGTGTGGCAATTGCAATGAACTATCGAATGCAGCAGAGAGGTTAGAGAGTGCCGTGGGAGGGACGGTTGGTGACAGAGTTGGTAAAGATGGTAGAGAGAGGAGGCATGTCTGACCTCTGCCTCATAAGAATCAACCTTGGGCTGTTGATCTTGATTCTCCTTTCCCCTTGTGAAGTTAGAGGAGGTCAGACATTGCCCCCACACCATTTTTACAAGCAGCAACCATGACAGAGTGGAGACAGAGCTAGGAACATTTCAAAGGTTGGCCCAGCATCTGGATTCCGGGAAGAATGAGAAAAACAGCCAAAGATGTTTACTTCCTCTGTTCTGGGTTGCAGTTAACCGTGTGAAAGAACACATATGTAGATAAGGAGTCTTCTCCCTTCTAAGTCAGACAGGGCACAGCATTTGCTACAGAACTACCGTTCTGTGAAATGACTATAGGTGGGAACGTATAAGCATAAGGATTGAATCAGTCACATGGTTTTCTAAAAAAGAGAGCTTAACAATTGTTCTGTATTGTGATAGCTCTAATTTCTCCTGCTTCAGTTCATTTTTCATAATGTCATCAGAGTTCTGTCTAAAATATTGATTGATGCTCTACTCCTTATAAACTTCTAATGACTTCTCATGACCTACAGGATAAAAGTTTTAAAGTCCTTAACATGGAATTCGAGATCCTTTACAATCTGGCCCCATCACAACTCTCCAGTCCCGATCAATCCCCTACTGTCCTTCTACTTATATCCCCTCCCTAGATCCCACACATCCTACACTCCAGCCACCCAGAATTTCAGCAAATCCCAGGAGATGCTAGGCTGTTTGAAATTCCTATGATTTAGCATATGTTGTTCTCTGCTTGAAATGACTTTTCTTCTCCTGTCACTGAAAACCTGCATTCCTACTTCAAGCCCCATGGTTCTCCATTGTGAAGCCTTCCTCACTTTCCCCCAAGAGAGTGAACAGCTTCCCGTACTGAGCAGCCACCACCCGTCACTGAAACATCTGGTGTAGCACTCGCTACTCTTGAGTGTAGACATTTGTTAATGTTTCCATTTCTCATTAGGCTAAAAATTCTCCTGGGATAGTGTTTTTGCTTTATTCATTTTGTATCCCCAGGAACTTCTATCACAGTTCCTGGAACATAGGAGACAATTAAATAAAAAAATGAATGAATAAATCTTGCTTGCCACTTCACTCTGTATTCTTTAGCCATGTGATGACCATGACAAAGAGGTGAGTTTGAGGGAGAAGGTAGAAATGCCCTATTTTCTAGTGGCTCACTAGCTCTGTCTAGGATTCCCAACATACAGAGTCATTGCAAAAACACATTTTCCCGGAAGAAGTTGAGGAGAAAAAAGAGAATGAAACGAAGAGATAAAGTGAGTTTTCTCTAATCTGGTAGTTCTGCCATTACTAAGGGTTAATTTCCATGTTTTTGGCCTTCTCCCCTCACCCCTCCGAGCCCTCTCAGAAATGCAAGTTTTATACAAGAGTGGTGGTCTGTGATCCTGACAAGAGTCGATTCAGTTTAGATGAGGAATACCTTTTAGCAGGTGGCAGTTATATGTGCTTAGATTCCCAGTTGACTGCAATTGCAACCAGCTTCCTCTTGGGTGGTAGCTCATATTTACGACTTTAAACAACTCATAGGGTGGGACCAGGATCTCCTTTTTGAGGGAGAAGTCTTCTACAGGTGCACCCAGGCAGGTAAATATGGTAAATACTGTTTGGTTCTCAATTTCCCGTGCCTCTTCGTTTAGAAGGGAGGTGGAGAGGAACTGGCCAAATCGAATGGTGGCATTAAGGTGGGCTTTAAGGTAGGCATCCTTCACCTCATGGTATACCTCATAACACAGAGTGCCATTCTTGTTGATTTCTTCCCTCAGCAGCTGGATTGCTGAGGTCAGGTAGTAGTGTAGATATTTGAAATAGAATGAATGCTTGTACTGCCATGAAGATCTGCCAGCACTGGCCATGGCTTTAGTGAAATCAGAGCGAATATTATTGTTCAAAGTATAAACCAAAATGGCCACAGCATGGGCAGTAGTCATGTTCTTGGGAAGGACTTTTGGTTGGTTCAGCCAGGTTAAGTGAGCCTGGTGCCAGGCCCTGGAATAATTCTTATGGCTTTCCATTTCTTCTATGAAATAATCCCCTTGATTTAGCTCCTCCATGACCTGTGTGCTGCAGCCCTGGTACTGATCATCAAAGGAATTTGGTGCCAAGTCAAAGTCAATATTAGTTTCAACCTATAAGAAAAGAAAAACCTTGGATTTTAATTTTTTAAATTGGAAGGTAAGTGTGGTAGCAGATATGCTGTATTTTATGAGGCCAAGTCTTCTCCTCAAAACCAGTATTTGCTGGAGTAAGTTTCAGTCACAATTATTATGCTGCCCCAGTACTTCCTGCATCAGTGATGTCTCGTAGAGATTGAATCCAGTTTGATAAATATTGCTGAAAAAACAAAATCATCTCCCCAGGGAAGAAGTAATCTTTTTTGTATCACTGAAATCACAGTATTTCCACATTTTGAGTCCTTTGGGGAGAAAAAGTAATATCTTTACAGTTTAATTATATTTCCTATTTCTTCTATGTTCTTCACCCTTCATATTCTTTCATGGGTATCATAAGGAATATCTCTTTTGTGAATGCCTAAAACCTGTATTAAATCTTTGACCTTTATTTAAGAATAAAGAATAAATTTTAGAATATTTAAATGATGAGCAGTGTTGGGCTCTCCCAGGGGGCCCCCAATAAATAAGAGCCCTCTTATAGGTCGTTATGAGTTGGAATTGACTTGACAGCAACAGGTTTGGTTTTTGTTTTTTGGTTCCCTGCCCAGGTTCTGAAAATGTTGAGAGAGAGAGAGAGAGAGAGAGTCGCTGTGAAGGCCAAAATATCATTTTATGATTGAGGCCAAGTTGGAGGACATAGCTTTAGGTCTGATAACGAGTGGGCTTGTTAACTGTAGCCCCCAGAATGAGGCAGACATGCCTGCTCAGTCGCAGGCAGGGCTGGACTGGGGCCTGCCCAGGTAAGATTCTTGTCACAGAAGAACAGAGAGTTCGTGCCCTTGCATCAGGCTCACTCCCAGGGGGAGGAAGATCAGAGGCAAACTCAGCATACATGGTTGTTCTTTCCAAAGTTACCAATTAAGTCAATGTATCCACCTTCCTGGGAGCAGAGTGAGTAAAGATGGCCAGGGGCCAGGAGTGTGCCTAGAAGTGTTCTTCCTCTTGGAAACCAGGAGTGGGAAAAAGACATTTTTCTCTAGTGGGCAGCTAATTAAATATTACTTATTGGGACCTAAAAACCCCAAAACCAAACCCATTGCCATCAAATTATTTCCAACTCATAGAGACCGTATAGGACAGAGTAGAACTGCCCCACAGGGTTTCCAAAGAGCTGCTGGTGGATTTGAACTGCCAACCTTTTTGTTAGCAGCCGAGCTCTTAACTACTGTGCCACCAGAGCTTCTATTGAGACCTAGTGCATATTAATCTGAAGTTAGAAATTTCAAAAGAAGTTCACTAAGCATCATCAGTGTGTCATTTAGAACCAAATTTGAATTATCTAAGATGTTTCTTTCTTGGCAGAGAAATGGTGCTTCTAAAATAGTAATCAGAAAGGGATAGATTAAGAAAGAGAACTCTTATCGATGAATCTCAAGGATGCTGGAGCAGGAATTTAAAAAAAAACATGCCATGGTATTTTACTATGTTATTTATGATAATTTAATTATGGGTAATCTGGAACACATTTTATGCTTAGGTTGGATTTCCTTGTTCCCTAGTATGCTTCTGGGCTCTTTTTCCTCTATGAATGCGGTTAGTTAGAAAAGCCAAGAGTAGAGTGTCATTATGATAATTACTATTGTATAGATTATTGTAATCATTCGTTCCATAAATATATATTAAACATCTCCTATGTTTTAGGTAGGACTCCCTAGGTGGTGCAAATGGTTAAGCGCTCAGCCAATCAAAAGGTTGGCAGTTCCAGTTCCCCCAAAGGTACCTCAGAAGAAAGGCCTGGCAATATACTTGAGAAAGATGACAGCCATTGAAAATCCTATGGAGCACATTTCTACTCTGACACATATAGGGTCACCATGAGTTGGAATCGACTTACCAGCAACTGGTTATGTTTTAGGTGCTAAGGATGTAGAGGCGAGCAAGAAAGCATAAATTCCTGTTTTGATGGTGCTAACTAGTAGCACAGTGGTTAAGAGCTTGCTGCTAACCAAAAGGTCAGCAGTTTGAATCCACTAGCTGCTCCTTAGAAACCCTATGGGGCAGTTCTGCCCTATCCTATAGGGTTTCTTTGAGTCAGAATTGACTCAACGGCAATGAAAGTTTTTGGTGTAACTTGAGTTAATCTGTGTGATACAGTCTAAAGTCAAATACGTAATACCAGTTGTTGTGGAGTTGACCCCGACTCATAATGACCCCACCTGTGTCAGAGTAGATCACCAGGCCTTTCTTCCGAGACACTTCGGGTAGACTTGAACCTCCAAACTTCTGGTTAGTAGCCGAGCACATTAACTTTGTACCATGCTGGGACTCCAAACTTAGATCGACTTAGTTTATTTTATGTTATTTGTCCTATGGAGGCAGTGTTCTACTTAATTTTTACAGAGAATCAAGAAATAACGATATGCTAGCTTCCACAGTGTCAAATTTACAAACTGTAGAGACTTCTAGTGTTTTAAATGATTATTTTCAACACCCTTCTCTGGCAGTATTTGCTAAAATGTCAGAATGAAATTACATCCCAGTGGAAGTACCTAAGGCTGGCATCATCTAAAAGGGTTGCTCCTAGAGAGATCAGCTCTTGGCTTGCTGCCTACCTGAGAACTCCAGGTGGGTCTCTGCAGGCTGGAGAGCAGCAGGGAGAGCAGCAGCAGGAGCGGCGGCCGCGGCCCCCTCAGCAGCCAGATTCTTCTCTCAGGCGCTGCAGCTGTTGGGAGAACGAGCCTTCTGCATCTGCTGGTTAACGCACAGCATTTGCTTGTGTTGAAAGTACTTCTCCTTCGACCTTGCAACCTCATCCTGAAGTAGGTTCTCAGAGTTTTCCTTTTGCGGTTTCCTTAGAGTGAGTCTCAGCAGGAACTTTCCTTGCTTGTACCTGCGTTGAAACTTCTGTGGACCACCAACAGCCAGCAGCTTTTCCGAGGGAAGTAATCAGTCCCAAATTATTTGCAAAGCTGAGATCTCTGCAACAGAGACTCATGAGTGCACCAAATAAGGCTTTCTAAAGGGAGCACAAGTTCATTTCTAGATTCAAAAACAATCCCTGATCTGGTCTGAGTTCAGGGAAATTCCAAAGCCTGTCAAGGGTCAGGCTCGGCAGCTCAGTCTTCACTGTCCCGGCAGGGCAGGAAAAAGCATGCCCTGCACAGCTTCGGAACAGGCGACATTATCTTGAGTCCCAGGCTTCCACTGTGAGTGGTATCATTGGCATGGGCAGGGCCGGACGATGCCTCTCAAGGTGGGCCGATGTCAGGCCCATCTGGTGCTGCTTGATAGGCCCCTGCCAGCGCAGGCTGTCCTGGGGCAGCACAGCCTTTTGGGTTATCATTACAAAGAAGGCTCTTTTCCACTGGCACCACTGAAACTCTCTAATCCAGAGGCTGTACCCACGGGGGTCACAGCTCCTCCTCATTTTCTCTTCTCAAGACATCAGGTCCTTTATCCACACCATTCCAGCCTATCGTGACAACCTATATACAACTGACGTAAATCAAAAACAGCATCGAGTCTGCTAAGTCAGTCCACCACGGGTGTTAGGTTAAATACTTGCAGACACTTCCCTTTCTAGTTTGAACTTCCTTCCTCTATTTCTAATCCTTGGATAATGGTTTTTCTTGTAAATCTTACCCATTTACTCTTTCTGATTCATTATTTAACTACTAAAGGAAAACTAAATCCTGTTTTTGGAAAATTTGGCATTGCTTTTTCAGCACCCTAAAATATTTTCAATCTAATTTTTGTGATGATCGTAGCCCTTCTGAGTGTCATTAACAAAAGTTCAGAATATCTAGAAAAGTGTAAAGAAGCAAACAACATTACAGATAATGCATCGCTTGGAGAAAACTGTTCTTTAGATTTAGATGTTGGTGAAAAAAAATTCAGAACTAAAATTATATAATACATAGTTTTGCATACTGTTCTTCCTTGACGATACAATGTAAGTGTGTCTCCATAAAAGTTTCGAAACTTTTTTTTTATCGTGGTGAAAATATATACAACAAAACATATAGTAATTCAACACCCATGTAATTTTTTTTTTGAGGTTCAGATTCTACTTTTATTTATTTTATTGTACTTTAGGTGAAGGTTTACAGAGCAAATTAGTTTTTCATTAAACAATTAATACACATATTGTTTTGTGACATTGGTTGGCAACCCAACGACACGTCAACACTCTCCCCTTCTCGACCTTGGGTTCCCTATTACCAGCTCTCATGTCCCCTCCTGCCTTCTCATCCCTGCCCTGGAGCTGGTGTGCCCACTTAGTATCATTTGGGTTTACGGGCCTGTCTAGTCTTTGGCCAAAGGGTGAACCTCAGGAGAGACTTCTGTACTGAGTTAAAAGGGTGTCCCGGGGCCATATTCTCGGGGTTTCTCCAGTCTGTCAGACCAGTAAGCCTGGTCTTGTTTTTGTGAGTTAGAATTTTGTTCTACATTTTTCTCCAGCTCTGTCTGAGACTCTCTAGTGTGATGCCTGTCAGAGCAGTGGGTGATGGTAGTTCGTGTGTTAAGTGGAAATAATGATAATAGCACCTACCTCATAAGGGTGTATGTTCATAACTCTTAGAACGGCATCTGGCAGCTAGAAAGTGTTCAAGAAATAAAAGCTATTATTATTTGTACCAAAGTTTAGTCAGTCAATATTTATATTTAGGTTGTTTTCAACTGTGCACTACAAGTAACAATTTGTGAACACATTTGGGCAAAAATCTTTGTGTGTTTCCCTTCTTGCTATGATGTGACCCCTGGTCAATTGGGTTGTGTTGTGGATTGAATTTTTTCCCTAAAAGTTTATGTTGAAGTCCTTACCCCCTGGTACTTGTGAACGTGACCTTGTTTGGAAGTAGGGTCTTTGGAAATATTATCAGTTAACATGAGGTCGTAATTCTATCTGAGTGGCATCCTATAAAAAGGAAGAGACACAGAGATGGGGAGGGTCAATAGCCATGAGAAGATGCACCTGCAAGCTAAGGAAATCCTCGGGCTGCTAGAAGCTGAGCGAGACGAGAGGGAGTCTTCCCCGAGAGCCTTCAGAGAGAAAATGTTCTTGCTGGCACCATTTGTATTACCAGCTTCCAGATCTATGAGACAATACATTTCTGTTGTTTAAAGCCACCTACTTTGTGGTCCTTTGTTACGCTTCGCAGCCCTAGGAAACTTATAATACAGGATGTATAGTTTTTGGTATTTTTCATGGAAAACACTGGCAGTTTATGAAAATACCCCTTTAAGATATTTTAAATTCTTAAGATTCCTCCACATGTCTTGTTAATATGGGATATTGATGTGTTGTAAAGAGAATTAGAATTGGAGTCTGAAAACTTGGATGACGGGTCAACTTGATGGCTGAGTTAGCTCCAAAAAACTTGAGATGTGCTGAGCCTCAGTTTCCTCAGCCCTGCCAAAATTAAATGCAATAGTAACAATTACTTTTTATTGAGAGTGTACCTATCATATTTCAGGATCTTTTCATATATTTTTCTCAATCCACAAGACAATCACAAGAAGGAAATATAACCTCTACTTACAGATGCAGTTGCTGAGACCAGTGAGGATAAGTAACTCGTCAGTGATCACACAGGCACTTTCCTGCGGCCACTATCTCTGAAAACCTTCATTTTGTTACCATTGGCGTAAACTGTATGCCAGCCACTTATTATGCCTCTGGACCTCAGAGGTAAGGCATCATTCTGATTCTAATGCATTTAGCATGAAGGCAGGTCTCCTTTTTAAATTTTATTTTATTGTGCTTTAGGTGAAAGTTTACAGTGCAAATTAGTTTTTCATTCAAAAATTTATACACGTTGTTTCGTGACATTGGTTGTAATCCCCACAATGTGTCAGTACTCTCCCCCTTTCCCTTTACATCCTGGGTTCCCTGTGTCCGTTCATCCAGTTTCCCTGTCCCTTCCTGCCTTCTCATCCTTGATTTTGGACAGGTGTTGCCCATCTGGTCTTGTATCCTTGATGGAACTAAAGAGCACGTTCCTCACGTGGGTGAGTCCGTTTTGAAACGTTTGAAGCTCAGCAGTTCAGCAGACCAGAGCCAGAGCCTCATTGTGTAGGTTGAACATTCTATCAGGTAAGGCTTCCTAGATGTGTTAGTTTCGTAAACTTTTGACTTTCCCCGCCTTATTTCTGTGAGATAAGCTTGCAAGCATAATTGTGGCTTTCCTGTGGGATAGCTGGGGAGTCCTGAGGGGTTTGTTTTGGTTTTTCTGTGTCATATTTGGAAAAGCAGAGGCTCCCCATGTAACCTAACAGAAGACACCCGCAATAAATTACTTATCTAGCTCTCATTGGTGTACTGTCATACCACAGATTGGGGGTGCTGGGGTGCCACTCACTTCATTGGCAGCTTGTACTACCAGATCATATTTCTCAAAATCGGTATTCCAGAACCAAAAATTTAAACACACTCAATCAGTAAGCATGCATTCCAATACTGAAAACAAATACAATCAAAAAAATTAAGGAGAAAAAATGTAGTAACAAAAGGGTTAAAGGAATATAAGCGGCATTTTATTGTCTGTAAAAGTTTGGCTAGTTTTCCCAACATGACTGCTGCTTCTAGAATGACCACTAGAGGGCAGAAGGAACCTTTTTATAAAGCTCAATTGTCTAGAATACAAAGGAGACAGAGAGGGAGGGAGGCGAAAGGAAGGAAGAGAGGGAGGGAGAGGAGAAGGGAGAGAGAGAAAAAAAGAGAGAAGGAATCAACAATAACAGCTGAGGTCAGGGAAAGGCCTGGGGTCTGGTGTGTATGTATGTACATTTTTGGAAAAAATGTTTTGTTACAATGTTTTGAGCCATTAAAAAACCTTTTTTTTTGCCTTGATCCCATGTGGTCATTTAATATTAGTTAATAAGGAGCCCTGGTGGTGCAGTGGTTAAGTGCTAGGCTGCTAAGCCAAAGGTCGGCCTGGTGATCTGCTCCCGTGGTGAAGATGTAGCCTAGGAAACCCCATGAGGCAGTTCTACTGTGTCATAGAGGGTCTCTATGAGTTGGAATCCACTCAACAGCACACAACAACAACAGTTACAGAAATCTGGATCTTGGAGTGCGCTCAGTTACACTTTGCTTGATGATAGTCAGTTCTTCAAAATATAATCTGTGCTGGTAAAAGAGGTATGAGTTTTGAAGTCACACAGATCTGGGCTGGATTCTTGTCTCCGTTCTAGCTTTGCGAATTTGAGTGTGTCATCTTAGTTTTCAGTCTCAGCTTCTTCAAATGCATAATAGTGGAGATGATAGCACAGCAGGACTGTGTTGAGGATGCAATTGAAACACTTCGTGAAAAGGCCATTGCCGCTGACCCTTAGCTGTTGCTCAGTCTGTGTTGTTCTCTTTATACTCTATTCAGATATTTGAAGACTAACAAATCATAGTGTGTCCAACACAGCTGAAGTTGATTTTTATTGCATTCTTATAAACAGTTGTTCAAGAAGACATTTTGCTAATTTTCCAGACTAAATTCTAGAATTCTAGATTAGTTTTCTATATAGCTACTTTCAGGACATAGGTTGAAGTAGTTACTAAAGGGCTTTCTCCAGGGAGGATGTGAATCTTTTGCATTAACCTCAAGGTTCCAGAATGGTTCCTAGTAATTCCCATTTTGGTCTTGCTTAACTCCTTCAAATCTGTGTCGATTTGATGGGGTTGTTTTACTGCCTGAAGTCCTTAGTATCTACAGGAAAGCAGTTTGATAGAGACCTCAAAATTTGATAGACAGAATGATTTTGTTATCTACATTTTAACTTGTCAGTTTTCCCCCTACCCCAGTGCCCCAGAAGTGAGAAAATGGCTCCCTCAATTATTCTGTATTTTTAAGAACTTTTCGTTTAGATAAAATTTTGAACTTACAGAAAAACTGCAAGAAGAAGGAACTACCGTGTACTTCATCCACATTCATCACTGCCTATAATTTACCCCATTTGTTTGATCACTCAAGGAGCTCTGCTGGAGAAGCACTGGTCAGGGGTTTGAACCCCCCAGTGGTTCTGCAGAAGAAAAGACCTGGTGATCTGTTCCTGTGAAGACTACAGCCTAGGAAACCCTATGGGGCCGTTCTACTCTGTCCTATAAGGTCTCTATGAGTCG